CCGATGGCGCGCAGGCTGGTCTGCGCCGACTGTGCATCCATGCCGGCGTCGACCAGCAGCCGGATGGCGCGCTGCAGGTCATTCGCCTTCTGGTTGGTGTTGCCGGTCTCGGCCAGGATTGTCCTGCCCAGCGCCTTGACCTGGCCGTTGTCCAGGCCCGCTGCGCTGCCGATCTGCTGGTTCTGGCGGGCGAAGCTGGAGGCGTTCTCGACCGGCTTGGCCAGCTGGGTCACTGCGCTGCCGAGCAGGGTGCGTGACTCCTTGAAGGAGGTTCCCAGCTTCTTGCGGCTACGCAGATTGGCGGTGCTCGCCTTCTCGACGCGCTCCAGGCCGGTCTGCACCTTGCGCAGGCGATCGCCCTCGCTGGAGAGCCTGGCATACTCCTGGCGCAGCCCGGCAACGTTCTGCTTGAGCTTCACCAGCGAGGGGTTCGCCTTGCTCATGGAGCGCTGCTTGCGCTCCAGCCTGTCCAGTTCGCTGCCGATCTTCTTCAGTCCATCCTCGGTGGAGGACAGTGCGGACTTCAGCGAGCCCGAGATCGAGCCACCGATCGTGATCGTTGTCGTTTGAACGTTACTCGCCATGTACCGGCAATCCTTGTATCCACCAGATGAACTTCGACACCCGCAGCGTCATGATTTCGCGCAGGCCCCAGCCGGTATGGCCGGCCAGGGCGAGCACTCCCTGCCTGATCTGCGGCAGGGTCAGGTGGTAAAAAGCGCGACCCCCGACTGCAGGCGGGCGTAGTCGCGCAGCGGCAGCTTGCGCAGGTCGTCCGGCGGGATCTCGCACAGGTTGGCGATCATCCGGACCTCACGCTGTGCATCGCTGCCCTTGTCATCCTGGAACCGCTCCATGTCTTCCACGGTGGGTTCGCGCATGCGCAGCACGGCGGTCTCCACGCCATTGACCTGGCGCGGGCGGGTGAGGGTGACTTCGGCATAGCCATCGCGTTCGATGACGTGGTCGTTGGCGGTCTTGGTCTTGCTGGACATGGATGTGTTCCTGGAAATCGAGGGAGCGCGATGAAGGCGGGGGCGCGAGGCGCCCCCGGTGCTGTGGAGATGCGTGCGGGGTCAGATGCCCAGGGCGCTGCGCAGGCCGGCCAGCATGTCCACGCCGTTCTGCTTGGCGATCATGTTGACCACGTCCAGCTCCTGGACGACCAGCGGTCCGTGGGTGAGCTTGTAGTAGTTCAGCGCGAGCGAGATTTTCACCGTGCCCTTCTCGCCGGACTTGGACTCGCCACGATCGATGGCCTTGACCTTGCCGCGCATGTTGTGGACCACGGCGGTGATGCTGCCGTCGCTGGATTCGAGTGCCTCGCGTGCGGTGAAGGAATACTCCTTGCTCTCCACAACATGGAACTTGCCCATGATGTCCGGATCATCGGCGATGAGGACGGCCTCGGCTTCAAGCTTCTCGTGGCCCAGGGTGATTTCGGTCGGGGCGAACATGCCACCCGCCTGGAAATCCTCGGTCTTCAGCGTCAGCTTCGGAGCGGTGAAGGATTCCACGTTGCCGGCATAGCCCTTGCCATCGACGTAGAAGTTGAAGTTCTTGCGGACGTTGCGCGCCATGCTTAGAAGATCTCCGAGACGTAGTTGTTGTTCATGTGCATGCGGAAGGTCAGCTGTTCACCCGGGTAGGTCGGGGTGAAGTCGAAGTCCCAGTAGAAACGGCCCTGGGCCACGCTGTCCGCTGCGTTCAGATCGGGGTCGATCCAGCAGTTGCCGCCGAGGATCGCGCCCTGGGTCTTCAAGCCGCGCAGGAAGGCATTGACGCCCTCGCGCACGTCATCGACGTAGGTCTTGCTGATGCCGCGGTCGACAGCCCACAGATGGGCGGCCTCGAGGCTGTCGGCGATGATGTCGGCGGTGCGCACCACGCACAGGAACTGCCACTTCTGGTCGCTGCTGGCGGTGCGGTTGCCCCACAGGCGGAAGCCACCTTCGCGGATGATGGTCGCCACGTTGGACTGGTTCAGCAGGTTGGCGCGGCTGGTCGCGTCGGACAGGCCGAAGTCGATGGCACGCGCGGTACCAACCACGCCGTTGAGTTCCAGGTTCGACGGCGATGCCCACCAGCCGCGTTCGTTGTCGCTGCGGGCGATGGCGCCGGCCACGGCACCGGAGGCGTAGCGGGTGACGATGGCATCACCGGACTGCACCAGCAGCGCCGGGTCGACCACGTAGACGCGCTTGGAACCGGTCAGGGCGGTGGTGCTCTTGGCGGCCTCATCGTTGCTGTTCGGGCCGTCCTTGATGATCACCGCGCGCAGCTTGTCGGCGATGCCGAGCAGCTCGGCCACGACCGGGTTGGCCAGCAGCTCGGTGTCGCGCTTTTCATGGGTGTGGGTGAAGCCCGGTACCGCCAGGATGCGCGGCTTGATGCCCACCACCGACTTGGACGCCAGCAGCGCATGCACGCCGGTGTAGGCACCGGTCTGAGCATTCACGCCGCCCAGCACGTTGGCCAGGGTGTCATTCTCGGTCGCGCCCTTTTCCACGCGGATGACGACGACGACCGCGTTGGACTGGTCGAAGATGGCGTCGAGCTGGCCCGGGAGGGTGCCGTCATCGACTTCGGTAGCGGCGTTGGCGAGCAGCTTGGCAGCCTGCGAACGCGAGGTCACCAGGACCGGGGTGTTGTACGGGAAGGCGGTCTTGTCGGCGCGGGGCGCGGTGCCCACGATGCCGATGACACTGGTCGAAGCAACAGCGATCGAGCGGGAACCACCATCGATGTTGACGACCTGCACGCCATGCAGAAATTCGGCCATGCGTTGTTTTTTCCTTGGTTGGGTGGGTGCTGCGGTCGCGAGCTGCGCCGCATGGGTACATGTTCGTATCTGGCCGCGGCTGGATTAATTGCAGCCGTGGCCTGATGTCACGCCTGCGGTTGCGGGGTGGGTGTTGCGGGATCGGCCACGATCAACCAGGCCGCGCTGGCGTCGTCATAGATGATCGGGTAGCTGCGATCGGCCGGTGGTGCCAGATCGGTCACCGTGGGCGGCAACCCGACGCCACGCGGCAGTGGAGTCGCGAAGCTGGCATCGCTCTTGTTCCACAACGGTCGTGCGCTGTAGTCCGGCAGCAGCGTCCATTCGCGGCGCCCAGCGTTCCACGCGTTGTACTGCGGTGTGGTGCCGTCCAGCCGGAACGGTTCGGAGAGCGTCACGTCCTTGGGCAGGGGCTCGCCGAGCGTGAGGCGATTGGGCACCGCCATTGCTGTGCGGGTGTCCCACAGCATGCAGTTGCGGAAGTCGGCGACCGCTTCCCAGCGCGTGCCATCATCGGCCAGGCGCAGCGTCTGGTACTCGCCGGCGGGCTGGCGGGGGGCCAGGTCGACGGTGTAGTCGGGCAGGTTCCAGCGGCCGTCGGGGGAGGGCTGCAGACGGACCTTGCCCATGTAGGCGCGGGTGTCGGGGTCGTAGGAGTGCGCGAAGCGCGGTTCGATGGGCACGTTCATGTCCTCAGTAAGCGATGCAATAGATCATCCGCAGCCCGGCTGGCAGGTTGCGTTCGCCACCGGAGGTCTCCACCACGATGGCGTGGGTGTGGGCACCGGCGTCAGCGGCCGAGGCGGTGTGGCCGTGGTCGCCAACCTGGGCGATGGAGATGGTGTGCGAGTGGCCGCCGGCGCCGTTCATGCCGATGTTGTGGCCATGGCCGCCTGCGCCGTCGGTGGTAAAGCTGTGTGCGTGTCCACCGGCCGGGCTGGTGTTGGGCCAGGGGTTGTCGTAGTCCAGGTTGCCGCGCGAGCCGACGTGATTGTTGTAGTCGGCGCCCCACGGATAGGTGGTACCCGATTCGGCGAACGCGGTGAGATGCTGGTGGTCGCCGATCCAGGATGTACCGCCGGTATGCGCGTGATGGCCCTGCGAGTCGGTCCACGCACCGTGCGCGTGGTCACCGACCGCGCTGGCGCTGGCGCCATGCGAGTGAGCGCCGCCTGCACCTACGGAGATGGCGTGGCTATGGTTGCCTGCCGTTGCCGTGCTTGCGCTATGGGCATGGCGGATCACCTCGCCCTGGGTGAAGCTGCCGACCGCTTCGGGATTCAGCGTGTGGGTGACGACCGTGCCTTCCTGCATTGCCGGCAGGTTGAAGGTGGTTGCGCCATCGCCGGCGCCGTAGCGGGTGCCGATGGCAGCGAACAGGGCCGGGTAGCTGGCACGCGGAACAGCGGCGCCATTGCACAGCAGCATGCCGTTGGGCGCGGTGGCACCGGCGAACAGGATCACCTGGCCGGGTACGTGCACGCTGGACGGCACGCCGGTCATGTTGCGCCAATCCAGATAGTGCGTGCCGTGTCGGCCGTCAAGCAGGTCGGCATCCAGGCCCTTGTCGGCGCCTTCATCCTTCAGCGCAGCCGATTTCAGCCCCAATGCGGAGCGGAACGCGGCTTCGGTGGCGATCGACAGCAGCGTCCGCACCAACTGCGTGGGTGCGCTGGCGCCCAATCGCTTGTCGATGAACGCACGCAGCCCGCGCGGGGTGACCGCACGTTGCGTGTCGGCACCTTCCTCGGCCTCGGTGGAGGTGGCCAGCTCCACCACGCCCTGCACCTCGGCGGTCGCCGGTGGGTAGATGAACTCGGCATTGCCGAACTCGATCAGCCCGGTATCGACTTCGCTGAAGCGGGTATCGGTGGAGAGCAACAGCATCGAGGCCGCAGTCTTCTCCATGATCGGATCGGCCTGGCCAAAGGTGGCGAACAGCGTGCCGTCGCCCAGGTACAGGCCGAAGCCTCGCAGGCTGTAGGCACTGGCGCTGTCGTCACGGATCGTGACGTGCAGTGTGTCATCGCCAACGGCCTTGCCACCGAACGTCAGGACACGCTTGATTTCGCCGGGCAGTGCAGTCAGCCCCGCCGATGGCGTGAACGCCGTGGAGGTCAGGCCGATCTCGGTGATCAGTACGGCACTGGTGCCGGTATTGGGGGGATTGACCAGCTTGGCGAAGCCGGCGTCGGTGATTTTCAAGCGCATGCGGGGTTTACTCTCCGATCAGTTGGATGCGGCGGAAGGTGGTGCCACGGGCTCCTGCAAGCGCACCGATCTCGGCGCTGGCCTGCATGCCCTGGGTGAACGTGAAATGCGATCGCACCGGCTTGGTGCGGGTGATCTCGCCGATCACGTCGTCGACGAACTTGGCGGTTGCGGTCTCGCCGCCCTGGTTGGCGATGGTCATCACCGCTTCGAAGGTGTGAGGTGCGCCTTGCGGCTGCATCTCCCACCATTCGCGGATCAGGATCGAGCCACCGAACGCGGCGACAACGTCGCGCACGCTGCCCCACGTGCCCTTGCGGCGCTGGATCGCGATTGCCGCGCGCACGCGTGCACGCTTCACCTTGTCGGGCCAGTAGGCCTTCCATTCGTCGACTGACAGTGCCCAGGCCAGCCAGGGCAACAGCGCGGCCGGGCAGCGGTCGGCATCCCACAGTGCGGTGATGTCCACCGGCAGCGGGCGTGTGACCGCTGCGCGCGCCAGGGCCTGCTCGCTACGGGTGGAGTTGGGGGGCAACAGATGTGCGGCAGCAGGTACGCTGACCAGCGCATCGCCATCGATGATCGCGCCGGGGGGAGGCAGGTAGTTCAAGGTGACTACGTTGCCGGCCATGCTGTAGTCGATCCTTGTCATGGGTTGCGCGACGGCATGGATGTAGCTCGTCGCCACAGGGCCTGCTTCGGCCTGTGTGCCCCATACGTGGATGCGGCTGTCCGGCTTCAGGCCAGAGTTCCCGGCTGCCAGCCGATCCAGCACGATGCTCATGCCGCGTGGTGGGTCATCCGCAGTGGCGGTGTAGGTGTAGCTGTAACGCCTCCACTCGGTACCCACCTGCAGCTGGGTCCTGCCTGGGCCGGTCGTGCGCATGCCGAAGCCGATGACGCACGGCTCGGTTGCGCGCAGCCAGACGCTGATGGTGCGGACGGCGCCATCGGGAAACGCGCTTCCATCTTCGTCCACCAGGCCGGTGAAGCGCTGCCCTGGCCCGCCGATCGCATCGGAGGCAGGGAAGGAGAAGGCATTGGGGCTGCCATCAGGCGCGAATGACCCGGCAGACAGATTGGCAGGCTTGACGTAGTAGCCCGTCCAGCGGGGCACGTTGAAGGTTGCCGATAAGCGCTGCAGGTTGCGTCTTGGCGTGTCCGACAACTTCAGGCGCCCCTGCCAGTCGGTGCGGTACACCGACTGCAGGGAAGCCAGGGCGCCACCCGGATGACGGAACTGAAGGTTCTGCCCATCGACCGCACCGCGCAGGCGTGCGTTGATCAGGCGCGTGGTGGGATCACTCATCGTTGCCGCCATGGGTCAGGATCACCGTGCTGCAGTGAGTGGCCTGGGTGCGGTCTACCACTACATCAGCCAATGGGCTGGCGATCTCCACGCGCTGCACACCCTCGGCATGCAACGCGGCGAACAGGCCCGAGCGGGTCACGTCGCGGCCCAGGCGATGCGACTCGGCGATGTAGCGGTCCAGGCGCGTGCGGGCCTCGCCCAGTACCACCTGCGAGTCCGGGCCGGCGAAGGTGTAGAGCGTGGCGTTGATCGCGTAGTTGACGATCTCCGCCGACCGCACCAGCACGTGGTCGGTCAGCGGGCGCACGTCGGCCGCGCTGAGCTTTGCTTCCACTGCATCAAGCAGGCCCTGGGAAGCGGCACCATTGGCTTCGCGCGACAGCACCGAAACCACCACCACACCGGGTGAGGAGCTGGTCGCGCTGGCGTCGAGCACGCGGGCGTCGGCGCTAAGGGCGTGGAAGATGTAGGCGCCCTCCGGCCCGGCCACGCTGAAGCCTTCCGGGCCCAGCTGGATGCGGCGACGGAAATCCTCATCACCTTCGTAGCGCGGTGGAATGCCCTCATGCGGCTTGCCCGGGTCCAGCACCTGGCGGGCGATGCCGAAGATCGCAGCGAGATGGTCCAGGTCACTGCCGACCGCGTAGGCCAGCATCACGCCACGCGCGGCGTCGTTGACGCGCTGGCGGTCGAGCAGGCGCAGGTAGGTGCAGACCTCCAGGATCTTGAAAGCAGGGTCCGACGGCAGCAGCGCGTCGAAGGTGGGATCCAGGGCCTGCAGCGCGGTCAGCGATTCATCGAACATGGCTTCGAAATCGAGCACTTCGATGACCGCCGGTGCAGGCAGCTGGGACAGATTGACACTGGTGAACGAGCCGGATGCCACGGTTAGCGAACCTCGATTCCTTCGATGGTGATGGCCTCGCCGTCCGGCAGGTGGATCCCGGTCACTGCCAGGATCATCACGCCGGGGGCGGGGAGGGAGACGTCGACGTTCTCGACGTGGAGCCGCGGTTCCCATCGCGCCAGGGCGTCGACGGTGGCGGCAATCAGGTCCATGCGCAGCGAGCGATTGGTGGGCGCATCGATCAGTTCGAACACGCGTGAGCCGTACTCGCGGCGCAGTACACGGGAGCCAAGGGGCGTGGTGAGAATGTCACGCACGGACTGGTGCAGATGGGCCAGCCCATCCAGGGATTTGCCGGTGTTGGCGTCGATTCCTCGCATGGTCTCTATCGTCGTGGAGTGCAGGTTTTGAGGGCATTGCAGGCGTGGCCGGTCAGGCCTGGGCCGGCGTGGTCGGGGCGGTGGGGCCCTGCGCGGTGTGCTTGTGTGCCTTCAGGCCGATGGCGCCGGCCTTGATCTCCGCCGGGGTGCTGATGTCCTTGCCGGCGGTGATCGCACCTGTCACGTCCAGGTCGCCGGTGGCCTTGATCGACGGTGTATCGAGCAGCACCGATTCACTGGCGATCACCTGCGCGCTTGCACAGGTCACGATGACCTTGCCGTTGCCGACGTTGACGCTGAGCGTGGTGGTTTCCTGGTCGTACTCGACGATGCTGCCGTCGGCGTACTGGGTACGCTGCCGCAAGCGCGAGTCGGCTGGTGCGGCAAAGCGGTCCTGGTACAGGCTGCCCAGCACCAGCGCCTGGCCCGGGTCGCCATAGGGACAGGCCAGCACCACCTGCTCGCCCGGTTCGGGAGCACACCAGCTGCGCGCGCCCGGCCCGGCCCGTCGCTCCAGCCAGGGAATCCAGTCGGTGAGCATGCCGTCGGCATCGACGCGTACGCGCGCTGCGCCTTCGTCGAGCTCGCGCACGACGCCGATCATCAACAGGTTGCCGATGAGCCGTGCGTGCTCGGCGCTCATGGCGCGTGCTCCGGCAGTGGCTGGTAGCGTGGCTCATGGGCGCGGCCGATCTCGGGCGCGAAGCTGTAGAAGGCCTGCGGCACCACGCCGCCGGTGTCCTCCCACGCGTTGCTGCCCAGGGCGATCGGCAGCGACCACTCGACCACCCAGCTGCGGAGACCAGGCTGTGCCGTCGCAACGTCTTCGGGCAACGCGGCGATCACATCGATGGCGCCGCTGGCGGCCCCGGGGAAGCGGCCGAGCTGGTGCAGCCAGGTTGCCAGGGCGACGGCGGCATTGCGTACCTGCAGCGCTGCATCGGCATTGGCCGCTACGACAATGCGTGCCTCGAAGCGCAGCAGGGCGTGCAGCAGGCCGCTGCCGTCGCTGTTTTCCTTGTTGCGATCACAACGGGTCATGGCCAGCAGGCAGGCCGGCATGGGCATGTTGTCCGTGCTGGATTCCCGATAGAACGCAACGGTGGCAAGGCCCGGGAAGTGCGCGCGTATCGCGGTTTCGATGGCGCTGTGCAGCGCGTCGAGCGTCGGAGGTGGGGAATCGGTCGCCATGTCAGCTCATGCAGTGAATGGAAGGAGGGCAGGGCCGGTGCGGCCCATGCGGTCTGCAGCCAGTGTTGCCATCACCGGAGGTGGGCGGCATTGCAGGCGTGACCGCGAGCGGCGGGGTCAGGGCAGGGTCCTGCTGGCGCCGGCTGCAGTGCCGCAGCTGGCAGGCGCGACCGGCAACGCACCGTTGATGGTGAAACCGCGCTGGTTGCCAAGGCTGCACAACAGCGCCCGCAGCTGATCGGCGAGTTCGTGGTATCGGCGCGCGACGGCGACGTGGTTGCGCAGCAGCGCATCGTCGTCGGCGCCCTGCAGGTCCGGCAGCTCAGGGGGTGTCTGCAACTGTGCCGGTGCGATGCTGAGGTCAACGTGGCAGGGCATGGCCGGCGTTGGCTTCGCGCCAGATGCGCACGAACTCAGCATCAGCGTCGCCGCGATCGCGGCCAGGAGTCTTGGCATGGGTGTCGATGTCCCGTTGCAGGGCGTTGAACTGCTGGGTGCGCTCGGCCTGCGTGGCCAGGCGCTGTGATTCGGCCCGGGCGCCGGCCCGGGCATTGGCGAGGTCCTGCTGATGTGCGGCCAGCGCCGTATCAGCGCGGGATGCCTGCTGCGCGGCCTGGGCGCTGGCAACGGCCAGGTCCGCGCTGCGGTCCCGCAGGGTCCACCCCAACCAGGCGCAGCCGGCATGGCTGCCGACGAGCAGCAGCAGGCCGACGCGCAGCCTCAGCGCGAGTGGGGTCATGCCAGGGCTCCACCCGCGGCGCGATAGGCAGCGCGCAGCGTCTCCAGTGTGTGTTCCTTCTGCCCATACCCGGCGCCCGGCAGCGATGCCCAGATGCGCCGTGCTGCGCTGACGGCGGCGTCGAATCGTCCCAGCCGGACCAGCTCGTAGGCACCGCATTGCTTGAGCAGGGCGACCGCGGCGCGATCCTGCGAGACCGGGCCGAAGTCGGGCAGGCCCAGGCGTGCGCGCAGGTCATCCCAGGTACTGCGCAGGAACTGGTAGCGGCCGGCGGCGCTGGATTTGATGCCATAGCGCGGCAGAGACACCAGGACGCGGGGATGGTCGCGGTAGGTTTCGAACAGCTGGCCGCCGACGATCACGTCGTAGCCGCGGTCACGTGAGCGCTGGCCGGGAATGTCGGTACCCTCGGACACCGCCAGCATGTCGAGGAACGCGGCCACGTTGGCACCGCCGAGGGCGCTGGCTGCGGCGGCGGTCATGCGGCCGCCTCCGGCTGCTTGCGCACCAGTGCCAGCAGCGCGTCTATCTGCACGCTCTGCTGGGCGATCTGTGCACGCAGGGCGTTGACCTCGCCACGCAGTTGCCCGATCTCCTGCGCCATCGCCTCGCGTTCGTGCATCAGGCCATCGGCGCGGGTGCGCTCGGCGGCGAGCTGCTCCTGCAGGGTGCGCAGGGTGTTGCTGGTGGCTTCATCGGCGGTGCGGTCGACCTTGGCCGACGACAGCCATTGGCGCAGCCACAGCGACACCGCGATCAATACGCCGGAGGTACCGCCCAGGTACTTGGCCCAGTCCGGCAGGCCGGCCAGCAGATCGCTCTCGTTCATGCGCGTGCGTATCCCTTCAGCAGGGCCGGGTGCACCGCCGGCGGTGGCGTGGAGCGGGCGCCACGCAGGGCGCGCTTGATGGTGGTCTGCGAGACGCCGAATTCACGCGCGACGTGGTCGCGTGGCATGCCGCTGGCGACGGCATGTGCGATCTGTTCGCGGCGCTGATGCGCCCCGGCGGCGAAGCAGGACGCCAGGAACAGCAGCTCGCCACCGAAGTGCGCGACCAGCCGCTGGGCGACGTCGCGGCCGAGGATGTCGATCAGGCGATGCTGGTCGGGCAGGGTGGATGGAACGTAGACGATGACGCGGTGGCGGCCGGTGGTGCTGGAGGTGGTCGGCGGCCACGCACGCACCAGCGTGAGGGCCGCGGATTCGCCGATGACCTCGGCGAGGGTCTGGATGCTGTCGGGCAGGGCGTTCATGAGGGGTGTCGTCAGTGGCATTGATCTCCACTGTTGCCATCCCGCCCTCTCGGTCAACACCTTTCATCTACTTTCGGTGCGATGTGCTGAAGGCATTCAATGAGCCTGAGCACAGGTGAGGAGTACGCTGCGGATGCCTGCAACGGTTGCTGCCGGGCGGCCATTGCTGCGGTTGTTTTCCGTAATCCTGTACTCGCTGTCCTCACCCCGGGGAAACAGAGGCAGGTCAAGGGAACGCGGTGGGGATGGGGTGAGGATGGCCCCCCGCAGCTCGTCCTCATGCACGGGCGCAGGCCCGGAAACGAAAAAGCCCCGGACGATGCCGGGGCTTCAGGATTGCAGGTGGGGCTGGGTCAAAGGTCGAACACCAGGTTGCCGCCGGTCTTGCGTGGGATGTAGCCGGCGTCGCGCAACCAGCGCGCCGCGTTGACCTGGTCCATGCGCTTGACCGGAAAGCGGTTGGCGAACATCAGGAAGCGCGCCACCGTGATCGATTCACCCTTGCCCTTCAGGGCGGCCAGGGTTTCGGTGAACCACGGTGCGGGCGGCTGCTGCCTGCCGGGCCGGGCCACGGTACGGGCCTGCGTCGTGCTGCCATCGCCCGCCTGGGCGCAGGCCTGCGAGCACAGCGAGATGAAGATCGCATCCAGGCTCACGATGTCCTTGCCACCCTTGGGCTGGGACTTGAACAATTCGATGGCCTTCAGGCGCGTCGACGCGAACTGTTCGACCTCCATGGCGTTTCCTCTCTGCGAAAATGGGTGGGGGATGCAGGGTGACGACAGGTGTCGTCGGTGATGAGGCGACCTTACATCATTTTCGCCGATGATGGGCCACGACCTGCGCTCGGATGAGTGGGAAGAGAGATCACACGGCCCCGTGCCGCGTTCAGATCACGCCGCGCGACAGCAGCTGGTCCAGCGTCCTGCGCACCAGATCGGCCGGGGTGCCGTCATTGTTTACTTCGATGTCGACCAGATGGTCCGGCAAGGCCTGTTCGCTGGCATGGCCCGGACGGCTGACGCGGATCACGACACCGCCACGGCGGCGGATCGCGCGGGCTTCATCGGCCAAGCGCACATCCGGCACCAGTCCGCCTGCAGGCAGGCGTGCGAACAACGAGCGCACCCGCAGCTCGGGGAGGTTGCAATCACACCCCGATCCGGTGCCGGCGCTCTGCATCAACTGCTGAGGGATGAGCTCAGCCAGCGCCCGCAGCGGTGCCGCAAAGCTGTCGCAGGGCAGCGCCAGTGCCGAGGCCAGTCCATTGGCCAGGGCGTCCTTGCCCGCATGCTTGGCGCCGGCGATGCCGATGTAGAGCGGGCCCACCGCCTGCGGGGCAGGCCGCAGCTGCGTGCGGCCCAGGGCGGGGCCGGCACGGAATGCGGCCAGGGTGTCGGCGATCATGCGATGGCCACTGTCGAGGGAGGCGGGAATCATGCGGAATCTACTCCTGGAAAAAGGTGGCAGCCGGCGATGGGTCAGGAATCGCGACCGCCAGCACCGCGCGCGCGCAGCAGGCGCTGGGTGATGCGTCCCCCGCGGGCGGCGGCCGCGACAGGGTCAAAGCAGAGCATGGCGGTGCGGGTACGACGGCCAGCGGCAAGGTGGTCGCGGATGGTCCGTTCGGACAGCACCGGTACCCGCTGGTGGATCTGCCGCACGGTCAGCTGTTCGCCTTCGAAGGCATGCAGTTGGGGACGAGGCATGACGGAAGCGCTCCTGGAAGGTGGCGTGGCCGAGATAGGCATCTTGCCTTCACGGGCCTCCCTAGTCAACACCTTTCATCTACTTGCATATCGAATCGTGCCGCCGG